ATCTTTTTTTTTTTTTTTTTTAACTGAAAAAGCAAATGTTTCCATAGGGGTTAAACATCAGTTTTGACCAGGTCTATGCAACAGCCACAATTTAAACTGAGCCAGAACCTAGAAGATCAGTGTCCTAATGGAACTATTCAGGGAACACGTTTTATATGGCTGGATGACGCTTTATTTTTGTGCTGAAGAGATGTATTTAGTTGATGCTCAGAGCATTATAGAGATTTGTGTCTCTTCTGTGCTGCCTAAATCAAAGGTGCAATACTTGCAGTCTCTACAGTAGTCGGGTAACTGAAAAGAATAGCTACAGCCTTCTTCACATTCTCCCCGCATATTTACCTTGGGGATGAATGAGAAAGATGGAGATGGTGTCCTTGGGCATGGGTGCCCAACTGCATTGCTGCTCATTAGCTTGCCCAATTGATTCAGTGAGTTGCAAAGGAATAGATAGGAAAGGATGCCAGTGCCCGTCTTTACAACTAAAAAGCAGATGTGCAAGAGAAAAATCTGGACCAGAGCCCAGCTGCCTGGGTTACTGCACCCCCTGGGAACTTCCCATTCCAAAATGGAGTCTGATCAAAGGAAAAACCTCAGTGTTACTTCCCTGGGGCATAAATCTTGAGAACATCTTGCACCCTTAATGTTTTGTTCTTTTTTTTTAAAGGACATTAATTGGGTGCGTATGGAAGAAGGCATGTACACTGGAGCCATAATACAATCATTTCTCCTCAGTGTGTTCATATTGAGCTGTCTGTCAATGGAAGGAGGGTTGGCTAAATGTAGGAGTGTTGATGTCTGGGACTCTTTCGGGCCTGATGTTTGGAAATACGATACAGGAAGTTACTTTGCAAAGCAGGGAAAAGACATGGAAGGTATGTTTTTCCGCAGTTTTAAAAACCTTGCAAAAGTGAGCACACATTTGAAAAAAAAACTTTTAAAATAATTTGTGAAGGCAATGTACAATAGAGGACTGTGTTTCTTCTTAGTGGCTTGCACTTCACTATATCACTCATAAGCAATGATCCTGGTTTTCCCTGATAAAAAAAACACAAATTCTCTGATAAACGCCCCCAAATCTGTGATTGAAAAGAAAGGCCACTATATACATAGGTATCAGTTGAACCCTATGTTTTCTTGATATATGTACAATTTTAAAGCGATTTGGAAGTACCCCAATCATTATAATAAAATAAATTCTAAATACCTGCACATTTTGGTGTTTGAGTTTGGGGTTTTTTTCATGGAAAATCAGAGTTCCCTCAGCCTCCTTAGTTCACAGAACGCAGGTCCAGGGCTCTCACTCCCAAGCCACAGTCCCCTAGCCATATTGATG